CGGAAAATACAAGAATGTTATACGATTTGATCAAATATACTGAAGAAGTGAGCCTTGGCGGAACTCTGTTCATTGTTGATTTTTTGAAAGCTTTCGATTCTCCTTCGTGGAAATTTTTGAAAAATGTATTTGGCTATTTCAATTTCCCACTAGAATTTATTCGATGGATCGAAATATTGAACTTAAATGCAGAGCTATGTGTTACGCAGGTTGGCCATTTATCATTCCACTTCAAAATAGAAAGAGGCTGTAGACAGGGAGACCCAATAAATCCTTATCTTTTATGATATGTGTGGAAATATTAGGTATTCTCTTCGGGCAAAATAAAAAATATGGCTCAAAAAGTACTAAAATAATTCAATATGCGGATGATACTACCTTAATTTTAGATGGAACAGAAAAATCTTTAAGAAACTCATTAAATCTTTTAGAGGAATTTTCAAAATAGTCTTGTCTAAAGCCTAACATATCAAAAGGGGGAAAAATCTCAGTGCGTACATATCAAACTTTAGGTATAAAATTACAAATCTAAATGTTTACAAGTACAGGATCTGAATTAAAACAGAAAATGTTAATCATGACATAAAAATACATTTAAATTAAACAACTATACTATTTTTATTAAATGTTTGCAAATTAAGTTTAGAAACAGGTTTAGTAAATACATCAGCGGTGTTATGCGAAGATAGTACATATTCAAGATTTACCAAACCTCTCTCAGCTTCGGATCTGATAAAATGGTATTTTATATCTATATGCTTAGATCCTGTTGTTGTACAGGATTTTTAGCCAGTGCAATAGCCCCTTGATTGTCACAAAACTTATGTACCTCATGAAAATAACTTCAACCTGTCATACTATACATGTATATAACAGAAATGTATCACCTGCTAATGACCTGTACTCTGCTTCACAGGTACACAAAGCTACAGTGGCTTGTTTCCTACTTTTCCAAGATATCAATGGACCATTATTTGACAAATGAAAACATATATCCTGTAGTACTACGACGATCATCATGAGAACTTCCCCAGTCAGTATCACAAAACCTACCAAGGAAAACTCACAAGATGACTTTCTGAACACTAAATTCTGATCTACAGCCCCTTTCAAATATCTTAGAACATGCTTTGCCATTGCATAATGAGCACACTTTGACATGTTGAGATAGTTTTGTCAAAATATAACATAAATTTGGTCTAGTAACTGTCATAACATATATAAAACTACCAACAATTTCCCTGTACAATCTGACATCAGCAAAATCAGAATCCTCAATTACCTTATTTATCTCTGTCTCACATGGGGTGGTCCTGGGTTTACAATCCTGCATACGAAATCTTGGCAAAATCTTATCAATATACCCAGACTGGTTTATTTGAATAATATTACCTTCATGAATAAACTGAAAGCCTAAAACCGATTTATTTTTCCCAGATCTTTCATCTAAAATAATTTTGAACTCAAGCACATTTTGATGAAGTGTAGAGTGGTGTTTTGTGTCTATAATTATATTATCAACCCATACAATCATAATTGTCATCTTATTATTAGTATGTGTAGTATATACACAATTAACTTCTAAAGACTGAACAAAACCTTGGCTAGTTTATGTCACATATTGTTCGAATTTCGTCCACTTTGTTTTAAGCCATATAGTTATTTCTTAAGTTTACACTCCAATTTTTCATCATTTTTCTGTAACAAACCTTTCGGGTTGTTCTATGTAAAATTCACAATCTATTGGCGCATTCACATAATTATGCTGTTTTGGCATACATTTGGTGAACTACTAAATCATTCTGGACAGCTAGTTGCATCAAAGTTCTAACTGATTTAATACGAACTGTAGGTGAAAATGTTTCATGGTAATCTATATCCAGTAGTTGTGAATAACCTTTCGCAAAAAAACGAGCCTTATAGTTTTCTTCAATATTTGAACCAAGTTTCAAAGCTTACACCCATCTACCTCCCACCACCTTCTGTCTTCTGGCAGTGGAGTAACTTCAAATGTTTCGTTCTCTCACAAAGCATCTATCTCATCTGTCATGGCCTTTTTCCAATGGTATGGACTTGGAGAATAAATAGCATCCTGGTATGTCTGAGGTACTTCTGCTAATCTACAACAACAATCAATAGAATAAATTCTTTAATGGCATTCATCTTGTACATAATAATCATTCAGGTATCTAGTTATTGCATCTCGTCCTATACCGGAGTATCTATTTGGTTCAGGTAAATTTTGGTTCCTATCATCACCATTATTATTATTTTGTCATATGTTGACCTAATCACCTACATTTTGTGGTGCCTCATTCTCACCACTTCCATCTTCTGGTGTGGTTTCCTCAGGCTTCCAGTTCAAAATATCATCATGGTAATTTCTACCATGCACACTAATAGTGTCATTAGTAGCCCTGATAAATTTTACACATCTGACTATCTCATATCCAACAAAAATTCCTTTTTGACACCTAACATCTACTTTCGTTTTCTTTTGGACATATGCGTAATAAATAGTACCCATCTGCATGACATCCGGTCTTTCACCTAAAAAAAAGCTTCATAGACAGTTTTCCGAATCCCATTATTATTATTACACCTATTTCGGATGTAGGCTGCTGTCATTAAGAATTGTTTCTCTGTCACACGTCAGTGCGTAAGTCCACAATTCTTTTGGCAATTTACTCTGTAACAACAAACATAATTATAAAAAAATAGATCTCTATGCCCTTTCTGCAGTAACATTCTGATAAGGTGAGAATGGGGTGTACTTTTCATGTTCTATACAATTTTTTAATAAAAGAGTCCCAAATTCTTCAGAAATAAATTCACCACCCATTGTCCCTTCTCAAGCGCTCTATTGTAATGGAGTAATATCTGCATGGTATTTCATTGAAGCCTTGGTTGTATCACTCTTATGCTTAAGAAAGTATTCCATTATTAACCAAGAGAAGTCATCAACAAAAATCAAACAATATCTAAAACCATCCTTAGCTATTGGGTCAACTGGGCTTGCAAGATTACAATGAACTAAATTAAGTATTGTCACTGCACGTTTGTCTGGGTCCCTATTACTATATTGAGACATCTTACCTTCAAAACAAATATGAAAATATAATTGTCTATTACCAATAATTTTCATATCATCAACAACATTTTCGAACTTTAACATTACAATGACCTAATATCTTATGCCATTCTTTAACAGATGGATTGTAACTTACTGACTTAGAAGAAACATTAAAATTACAGCATCCAAACTAATTTTATGAATATTGTGCATTTTGTAACTTTCGGTATAGCAAAAAATTCAATTTGGATATTCATTTTTGATTCCAGCCCATTTAAAAATCTTTTAAAGCTCCTTGGACTAACAGAAATATTCTACTGTTTTCGGTATGTGCTAGAGTTGTTCCCGAAAAAAAAAACAGAATGAAAAGAATGCGTGAGGATTTTCTACGCAATTAAAGTTAAAACTGATGTCAATTTTACACGCTCACTTGATCGTTCGTTAACACGAATTCTTGGAGGATGTTAACAAAACGTAGCTTAATTGTATGAACCCTACTAGAATAATCGTAAAATATGTAGTATGAGTTATTGTCCTTGTTATTGAAAAAGCGTTCAATGTTTAGCTCGTAAACACTCTAGGAACAATTCTTGACGGATGTTAACAAAACGTATCACAATTGTTCATTATCATACAAGGAAGAACCATACCGATCATCAATGAAATAAGAAAATATTTAATACGAATTTAGCCCCTGTTCATTGAAACAAGTTCAATTTTTAGCTGGTATATTGTAGAAGGCACATTTATTGAAATATTTCACTGAAATTTGAGGGAATTGAATTAGGAAGAAGGAGCCTCATTCAAAGTTTAAAAAAACGACGAAATAATCAATAGGTTATATTGTCCTTGATTTATCAATTAAAGAAGACCCTTCTGTCAAATGATATTTTTATTATGAAAAATAGCTCGCCAGGCAAGTTAATATACGCCCACTGGCAGCTTTGCTTTTAAATAAAAATATTTGGCTGTAAAGTAACAATTACCAGTATGAAATATTCAACCTTGTGTCATACACTGAATAATATTAGTTAAATCAAAATTTGACAAGAATTGGGCGTTCTAGATTATTTACGGGCTAAAACATTAACGCGTTTTGTAGAACAAGGGCAATAACTCATACTAAATATTTTTCCATTCATCTGATTTTCGATAGGGTTTATCCTTGGTTGATACTCACACCAAGTTTCATCAAAATTCATCAAGAATTGCGTCTTCTAGAGTGTTTTCCTTGCTAAAAATTAAACGCGTTTTCAAGAATAAGGGCAATAACTCATACTAAATATTTTTCGATTTTTCTGATTCTGATAAATGGGTGACGGCAATATACGCAGTTCATTTGATGTGGGCCTATAAAAAAGAAAGTGCTAGGTTTTATGAATTCAGCCCAATGTATTTTCAAAGATTGTACTTAATTTGAAATTCCGCCGTGCTAAATTGAATAATGATTAATAATTTTCTTTTTCAGATGGATAAATACAAGAAACTGTTCATGGTGATCACTTTGTGTGTTTGTTTGGTTATTGCATTTTATTTTAAAGGAACAGAAATTTTACAACCACACATCACCAAATTACACCAATACGTTTATCAAATGACTGATTATACGCAAGTATTTGTTAGCAATTCTAGTACAGGCAGTTTAAAAAATAAACATAAAACAATAATTATGTTAAAAACTCCTCAGTGGTTAGCTGCAAAAGTAACATCAAATATGTTTGATAAATGTGAAGTATCCGCATGTACATTTCATCATAAAACACCATTTAAATATGTCAATGAAAGTGATGCTGTTATTTTATTTGCATTGAAATACTCTTCCAAAAGATTGTTGGCACGAAAAGCCAAAAATGGACAGATTTGGATATTTGCCGTGTGGGAATGTCCATATTTGTCTCATTCAGGAGAATTTAATAAAGCAATATTAAAAGACACGGTAAATTGGACTATGAATTATCGACTTGACTCGGATATCCCAGCACCTTACGGTATTGTGAAGAATACCAGTGGACAGTCAAACAATTACAAAGAAATTATGGCAAGGAAAACAAAATTGGCAGCTCAATTAGTAAGCCATTGTCCAACGCAAAGTTTACGTGAACAATATGTCAAATCATTAGAAAAATATATACCAGTAATGGTTTATGGGCGATGTGGACCCGAGAAGAAAAAGAGAAGAGAAGCACATTTGCTTCTAGAAATTGAAAAATCTTATAAATTTTATTTGGCTTTTGAAAATTCTTTGTGCCGTGATTATGTTACTGAAAAATTTTTCGAGTGGCAAAACAGAAGTATTGTTCCTATAGTGAGAGGTGACGGTAATTATGAACATTTCTACCCCAAAAATTCTTACATAGATGTGAGAAATTTTAAATCAATTTCTGATTTAGCCAAATATATTAAATATTTAGATAGAAATGACACAGCTTATATCGAATATTTGAAAGCAAAAGAAAATTACGTTCTTACTGATAGTTTAGGTACATCTGTAGTAAAATCATTTTGTCAATTGTGTAAGATGGTTCACAATCCTGATAAATACAGGCATATTTACTCTAATGTTCAAAATTGGTATAGTAATGGAACTTGTAGAAATCCAACTGATTTAGAAAAAAACAAAAAAGTATAATTAATTTGTATTGCAATAAAGTGTTTTAATCAGTACTAATTATCAGCCGACTCGTCTGACCTTCAGTATGTCCCAGAGCTCCATAATAAACTATAAGCCCTTTGGAATCTTCTACAAGGCGATGGATGGATAAAACATAACTTTCTGCTGCAGCTGTGTCCGCTAATGTTCGTCACTTCCAACGTCACCGTCACAAACAGCTATTCTAGGTTTCCAGAAACAGATAGCAGGAACAAGGATCTACAAAATTTGACCACTATGTGATACTTAGATGTGGAAACGCAATAAGCCACAGCGTATCGAAAGGTAGTCCAGCAGTAGTCTGAAGGAGAGTATCAGCCCTTTACTTTAAATGATGGATTTACTACCCCCAACAGCTTGGAACTAGAATTCAAAAGTGTCCCATTATAAAGTACTGACGAAGGAAATTCCTTCAGTATCCTCTGATCACAAAGCGTACTACTTTCTACGAAAGCCGGGTCAGGACTTCCAACTTCCGACTTCCAAGTTTTTTTTTCACTTCCGACTTCCAAGGTTTTTTTCACTTTTTATATTGATGAGATCTTGGACAAGTTCGATATTTACGATTTTGCGATGAACGGTTTTTGAGTTATTGCCCTTGACTTAGCCAAAACGCGTCAAAATTGGCTTGTGAGCGCGATAGAGACTACAGTTTTCATCTGATTCGAATGAAATTTGGTGTGATCATTTATATATTGATGAGATTTTGGACAAGTTCGATATTCATGATGTTTCGTTGAACGGTTTTTGAGTCATTGCCCTTGACATATCTTAAACGAAATGAAATTGGCTTGTGAACGCAATAGAGACTACAGTTTTCATCTGATTCGAATGAAATTTGGTGTGATTATTTATATATTGATGAGATTTTGGACTAGTTCGATATTCAAGATGTTTTGTTGGACGATTTTTATACGCCCACATATAATATGGTCGTATATTGTCGTCACCTCTGTCCGTCCGTCGGTCCACAATTGGCTTGTTATCTGATTTTAATGAAATTTGGTGTGATCATTTATATTAATGAATTCTTGGACAACTTCAAATTTGATGATCTTTCGATGAACGGAATTTGAGTTATTGCCCTTGACTTAGTAAAAACGCACCAAAATTCGTTAGCTTGTTAATGCGATAGTTTTTGTCAGAATTTTATTGAATATTGTGTGTTTGATTAAATCAACTATATCTTGCACAAATGAGATTTTTGGTATGATTTGACACAGATTGGTGACCGCCCTTGATATACTGAAAATGTATCAGGAAAGTGGGCGTATCTTGCTAGGCAACCACTTGTTGTGTTAAGTAACCATGTTTCAGTAATTTCACGGTTAATATTCGACCTCTTGCCAGAGAGCCCTTATAAAGAGAACAAGCTCTAGCATAGCGGACCAGTTGTGAAACTATGTTATCATACCCTAATTTGAACGTGCCTAAGGACTCTTAGATATAAATTAAACCAAATGTTATTGAGATCAGATGACAACTGTGACTTCTATCGCATTAACAAGCCACATTGAATATGATCACAAAAGCGTAGGCTTAATTACCAGCTCACTGGAGGAAAAAACTTGGAAGTCCGAAGTAAAAAACTTGGAAATCGGAAGTCGGAAGTGAAAAAAAAAACTTGGAAGTTGGGAGTCCTGATCCGGCTTTCGTAACTTTCTTTGCCATTTTTTAAAAGTTTATCGTTGGTGAATATGATACGATGTAAAAATTTAAATTCAAAGTTTCGGATTTGAACGTTGCAAACAATATCATTAAGTTTTTTAAAAGTAAGTTTAAGTTCTTGCTCGGATAGTTCGATGTTCAAAGTGTTTTCCCAAGTTCTAATTCCAGTAGGTTTGGTATAGTAATTCCTAATTTGGCTATCATATTTGTGTTTTGATTTAATAGTATATAAATTTTGTTTAAATAGTTTAATTAAATTGCAGTTTATCAAATTAATCGTAGAAACATCTTTGCATAATGCTTCCTTATTTATATCAGGAAATGTTTTTGTTATAGAACTTCGAATGTCAAAAAGACTTAAATTGTATGGTGTTTTAACTATATCATTAGCAAAAATATCAGGCACGAATAGAATACCATTTTCGAGAAGGTTTGAATCGAAAACTACTTTGTTTTAATCTTTATATTATCATTGTTCCAAACAATTTGATTTTCGACATCTAATTTATTAATATGCTTTGTATAAATTGAATACCATTTGTTAAAAACATCACTGTAGAATGGACTACGGATTTCCATGTTTAATTGGGGTAATTACAATCTGGAAGTAATGTACCATTATAACGTGACATCATATAATTAAAGGGTATCAACCATGTTTAATTCTTAGAAGTCATGATCTCTTTTATCCAAAAATACTATTACTTTTATAAAATTCATGCATATTTATCATCCTCAGACCCCCCAAATTATAGTCTTGTACGATACAATCTCGTTTTATTTTATCTGGTCCATTCCACAGAAATTTATACATGATTTTATTCAATTGGTCCAGAATTGTATTTGGCAGGTAGGTTGCAGAGGCAGAATATGTTATTTTTGAAATAATAAACGTCTTTATGATTTGTATTTTACCTGAAAGATTGAGTTTATGTTTATTCCATTTATGTATTATACAATTAATTTCTGTAAGTTTATCTAAAAAATATTCTTTTATCATAATATCCTTAATAATTGAAAAATAAATTCCTATTATTTTAACACTATCCTCACAAATTTTGACTGAAAGGGTTTTCAAGTAGTTCCTAAAGCTTACATTATTGATATTTAAATTTATTGCCTCAGTTTTACTGATATTTATCTTTAGACAAGATATCAAATTAAACAGTCTCAAAACTTCTAAAAGTTCTAAAACTTCTTTTAAGAGGGCAGTTAGGTCATCTGCATAGCTAATGATTTTTATTTCTTTCATGCCAAAAGTAATACCATGTATTTCACTCTCATTTCGGATCGCCTGTAATAAAATCTCTATTACTAAATTAAACAGATTTGAAGACATTGGATCACCCTGTCTGACACCGTTTAAAACATCAAAATATTTAGTTGTAAATTTGTTATTGACTTCTGAACATTGAATATTTTTATATAATATTTTTATCTATATAATAAAATAACAAACCCATATTTTCGCAAGGAATCAAAACTATGACTTATACTATCAAAAGCCTTCTGGAAATCTACAGCTAACAGAAAACCATCAATTCTTTTCTGACGAGCAAGCTCAAAACAATCATCTATTATTTTAATGTTTTCATGAATATGTAGGTTTGGGAAGAAAGCAGTTTAATTTGGATGAATTAGTTTATGTAAAAAATGCTTTAATCTGTTTGATAGATTTTTACTCATAATTTTAGTATCAAAGTTAACAAGTGTAATTGGCCTCCAGTTATTAAGTATGGACTTATTCTTGTTCCCTTTTGGAATTAATTTATAATCGACTGCCGTTGACTTGTTGATAGTAGATTGTTTTCGAAACTATAGTTAATTGAATTTAATAGCAAATTACTTATTGAGGGAAAAAATGCTTCATAAAATTCAGCTGTAAGCCCGTCATTTCCTGGGGACTTATTGATTTTAAATGAATTAATAGCGGACTTTATATTTCTAATATATCCAAGCTTTTGTACTTACTACTGGAATCTAATTTACATGGTTCTATGTTTAATATTATGAAAAGCCTATATGAAACTGTTAAGTGTAGAATTAGGTCCAACGACAAGTTATCAGATAGTTTTAATTGCATGGCAGGTCTCAGACAAGGCTGTATTTTTTAAGCCCCTGGCTTTTTGCAGTTTATATAACAGAGTGGTAGATAATCTGACGGTACAGGCATTTTTGTTGAAGAATGTATAGAAGACATTTTTTGCTTCTTTTTGTAGATGACCTGACGTTGTTAGCAGACTCGGTTCATGAAGTTCAGAAACGTTTAAATATTTTAGAACAAAATTGTGAATCATATGACATGTCTGTCAATCTTGTTAAGTCCAAGATAATTGTTTTCCAGAAGGGAGGTAATCTCTCAAAACATGAGAAATAGTTTTATCAGGGAAATCAGAATCTATTTATTATATTTTCCTGTAAACTAAACTGGAATGAGTGTTGTAAAGCTTTAGCACAGCAAAGCACTAAAGGCCTCAATATGATAAAACATTGTCTTTCTAAAATAGGTAATAGAGATGTGAATGCTGCATTCAAAATGTTTGATTCCATGAAAGCACCCATTATGGATTCTAAGTGTGTTTCCTAGGACTCCTAACGTTTTGGCTAAACTTGAATGTGGTAGAGTGAGTATGCATACTAATTATATGTCTGGTTTATTTTAATAAAATTTTGGAAATGGAGGTCATAAGGCTCCCAAAACACTGCTACCACATGCTGTTAAAGCTTGACAATATTGGTTGTTCTAACTGGGTCAGTAATGTCAGAATATTGTTATTTGAACTTGGTTTTGGTTAAACCAAGGTGTTGGGGATAATAGTGTATTTAAATATGTACTTAAACAAAGATTGAGAGATATAGATTTGCAAAACTCAAACTCTAAAGTTGGTTCATCCAATAAATACAAATTTTACTCCCTGTTCGATTTAGAATTAAAAGTAAAACCATATGTATTAGAGTTACCAATATAGGTCGCCGTACAGGTGAAGATAGACTTTGTCAGGTGTGTAACATGGGTACTATAGGTGACCAGTATCATTTTTTGCTTGTGTGCACGGTGCTCGGGGATTTGAGGCGTAATTTTTTACCTGATAAAGTAATCAAATACCCTTCCATAACCAATTTGATAACCCAGTCTCAAGTAAGATGCTTGCATTGTATATTAAAAAAGGACTGGAAATAAGAGGGGAAATTCTGTGAATATTTCTTATTTGAGAAACTATTAGATTTAAGTTTTATGTTAAGAGAATATTCTGTACAAACTTAATTAATAAGATTAT